CTAGTCAGTTGGGTTTATGAGTTTTTGGGGATTTCACCGGTTGCCTTTGAATCTACTCCTTCCTTGATGGCTGAAAGGTCTAAGGCTGAATACGTAGTTTTCCTCCTTCACCTGATATTGCTGTTTATGGGAGATTTACTGCTTTATTATGTGGCGGGGTAGATATACCTTGTGTGGGGAGTGTTGCCCAGACAGGTGTGCTCTTATCCATTCAATTCAGCACTAACAACCAATTTAACTACTGATTGCAACAAGCTTTGTAGAAATGAGACGTTCCATTAGTCCATCTAGGAGCTCACCAGATGGTATTACCATATTATGCTGGACCACCACTTGTGGACTATCATGAGTAAAGCATAAGGGATTCTGCCTGTTCCTGCCAATCATTGGATTGAATAAATTGGGGTTGGTTTACATTTAAAAATTTAATGTACTTGGTTCACCTATTGAACTGTTCCTCAGGGCTACCCAATGTGCATTACCCCCCAGTTTCTATTAGTGTAGCTGGGGAGTCCTTACCACACCCAATTTCTAGTTGCAAGGGTAGTGGACAGAGGCTTTTCCTCCAGAGTGTTAGAGTGAATTCCTTCACTCTTGAAGAAAAGGGAAAAGTTGGAGGCACCAGCCTACGCAGGAGCCTATTCATAATACCGGTTCTGATTTGATGTTAAACCATCCAGTTGGGGTGTGCATGGCCCTTCTTTTTGATCAATATTGGATTAGTATATTGTTCATGGAAGGAGGTCCACTATCTCGTCGTAAATCCAAATGCGGAGTGGTCCCATCCTGGGTCCTTGGTTGAGCACAGTGTTCCATGTCTTCTCCATAATTCCAAAGGGAAATGGAATGCATCTTGCCCACTCAGTTGGGGAGTGAGGATGAATGTTCATAATTCCAGACCAGATGAGTTCTATTCCTTTGGTTAAGTAAGATGTACATGATCCCGTTGCCTTTTGGACTTCTTCAGGTGGGGGAGAAAGTTTGTCAGCTTCAGTGTTGCTTACTTTCTTTTTGTGATTCTGGTGGTTCAGAACACATCACTCTATGTCTACAGGCTGGGTTCCAATCAAAAGTATATCTGTATATAATGTTGCGGTCCAATTGCCCTAGCCACGAACGTGAGACCAAGACCCCTCAATTCCAACCCCAAGTTGTGGAACCTTGGCTATCTGGTTGGGGCCTCCACCTTTACAATGTGGGATTCTAGCTATAAGTGGCAGCGGAGGTAAGTGTATTTTGAAAGTTAATATTTTTCTAAATTGAAAATCGAAAATTTTTCTAAATTTCCAAAAATAGGTGCTATGAGATTATATCTGGAAGCAATTTTGCATGAAATATAGCTAAACAATGGCATGGCTGTTCACATAAAATCCATAAATATCCAGTGAAAAGTCAACAAATCATCATTCTGTTGTAACACTGAATGGGGAGCTAGACTTAAATTAGCATAAATATATATGTTTTATTATATTAAAGTACTATACTATCTACATGCAGAGTAGTTATTAATTGTTAACTTATATTACTAATTTAAACAACTCTGTACAACAATAGTATATCATTGGTTATCATATACGTACATGTATGCACTACTGAAATATCATGTTATCATGCTTCATTCTTTTGGGGTGCTTTTCCATAAGTGATTTACATAAAGTTTCAATGTTGATAGCAGTGTCATAATGATTATGTATTAAAACTAGAGTGCTCAGTCTTTCTTCGGCCTGTATACGCTTCAGGTAATATTCAACTGGTAGAAAGCAGATGCTGAATGTGAACATGAACTTAGTGGTACTGTGGCAAAGGGTTTCAATAACATGAAAATAATGGTTACACTGAAGCATGCTTTTAAGCTGTCAATTAGTATCTAGGGCCTGTCCTGAAGAGGTATAGAAAGCCATCTTTTGTCTTCCATTGATGAAATTCTTCTTCAAAAATATCAGGATTTGGCAAACCTTCCCTGTCTGATATCAGAGATAGAAAACTCTTGTATCAGTTTTGATGGCATGTGTAGCTGTTATATATATATATATATAACTGTTTCAGTTTAACTTTAATGTGTTATGATTTGGATAGTTATTTTTAGAAGTGAGAGTGTATGACAAGTTTGTTTACATAATCGTTTATAAATCATACATTGTGTAGCATTATGTTGAATTATTATGAGTTAGCAATTGTGATATTGTTGCGTGTTATTACTAGAACTTTCTGAATTTTTATAGTTTTAATTGCGTATTATTGCATCAAAATATCTAGTATTGCGTGGAATGTTCTAGACTTCTTTTGGGGTATAAATACGTGTCAAAAGATTATTATGTAGATCTAGACTGCATGATTGTGAGTTTAGCGATAAAGAGCATACAGTGGCATTTTTAACGGGAAATTATCACAGACTGTATTGTAATAACAGAGAAGAATAATTCATCTTGTCATTTGTGTTTTAAGTAATTGAACCAGCCTGTGTGGACTTTGATGAAAAAGATATAATTATTTAAAGGCCTAGATACAACTGTGATAATCAACAGTGTAACAAACATTTGTATGTATGTTTGACTTGTTTTAATGTATTATTTTAAAACAAGAGAACTGTATTGCTGTTTGTTTATTATTGTAAAGAATCCAGCCTACAAAACCTGACAGTAGCAATACAGCTTTGGGATTCCAATTACAAAGTATCAACAGAAGCCATTGTATGCAATTATTTAAAACCAAAAAAATGCTAATACTTCATCAGAAGAATATAAACTATGTAAAAAAATGTTAAGTACTATAAGCAGCTGTGCTGTAACTATATAAGCATGATTTTTTTACACCATAAAAATAGGGGGTTCAATTGAATCCCTCCTGCATACATGTGTAGTATTAAAGGGTGACTTTAACTTTGAATAGAAAGAAAACTATCATCTACAGTTGTACCTACTAGATGAACAAGCAGCTAATTTTCCAGAATGATATCATGTGATTTACTCAACATGTAACCTTATTAAGCAGCTTATAGCTCTCCATGTGGATATTTATGGTTGTTCCTGTATCTCTTTTAGGCTATCATTAAAAACATGTAAAGTGTTTGTAAAATGTCTGAAATAGTAGCCTCTGAGCAATAGGTAGTTTTTATTAATATGTAAGAATCTGTTGTAAGTATATATCAGAGATTAATATAAATCATTGTGAAGGATAGTTGTCAGACTTAAATTTATTTAAAAAAATTCCTTTTAGGATTGTTGTTGATACAAAATGGAATATTTTTGCAATGAAATTCAATTATGCTACAAAAGCAAACGAAATTTTAAGAAGAAATATTTTTAGGTGATCTTTCCACTGTGTTACAGCACAGTTTTCTGAAATTTTTTGATGTGAAACTTATTTTGTTCTGTAAAGAAAAGATATTTTAAAAGAAAATATGTTTTGTTAGATGCAGGTAAATTAAAAATGTAGTAACAGAATATACAGTATATTTATTACCCTGCTTTGCATATATTAGATTGACAAGAAATCATTTGTTAAATTAAACTGTAGATAGATGCTTTAATAATTCATATCAACCACCACCTGTTTATGTATAAAACATTATCATCACTTTACTAACTTAAAGAAGCTACATAAAATTAGAAATGTTGTCTAAATTGTTATGTAAAAGATTTGCTATACTTTTCCATTAACTTGTTGGCAGACATTGTGTTATGGGCATTTTTTCTGAAACTGCATCTGGTTAATGTCCAATACATATTTGTCAGAATTAGATAGATATTTTTTTTGCAAACAATACATCTGAAGCACTTAAAGTGTACTTCATATGGTTTGATTATTAGAGTATTCACTAAAAATGAACTAACATATCTTTTAAACTAAATACAATGCAAACTCTCAGTTTTAACTGAATACAGTATTTAAATGAATGACAGTAAAATGCTTTGAACAGTTTATTTATTTATTGTTATGGTAAAGTCTGTCATTAGATATCATACAAGTGCACCATAACCAGGATACAACATTTCTGTTCTGTTAGCATGTATGTACGTAATCTGCACACATTACTTTCTGTATTCATTGTAAAGACCTGAAAGGCTATCAGACTTGAAGCAGTAACTGTTGAAAACTTTCCACAGTGAACCATGTTGACTAGAAAATTTAGACAGCTTTAGTTTAGTATTATTATAGGTTTTAATCTTCAAAGTAATCTTATCTCAGATCATATAAATTTAAATTTTTTTTGGCTTGGCAGCTCTTCTCTCTGATCGAAACATTTATCTTTTCTCCTGTTACAACTGAAACAGCACCTGTAACAATTTTTGTATTGCTTATACAGTAATCATAGCTGTCAAGGTGTGAAAATAGTTTCCTAATTTATGATTGGTTTGTTTAAAGTGTACCAAAAAAGTATTTGTAAATTCTATTTGAATGTTCAGGTTAAAGAGAAACACAAGATTGACCAAGTGCGTCTAGTCTTTAAATATTTGTTTTATTTTAGTATGTACAGAATTTCTCATTTTGAACTTGGTCATATAAAAAACAAAGCAACAAAGAACTTAGTTGTAATCCTTGTATGATTTTGTTCTTCCATCCATGGAAATAAACCTGTTAGAAAGTTAGTTATACGTGTATTTTCACCAGAGATGTTGAAATGTATAAATTTACAAATTTATTATTTTTTAATTCTTAATTGTGCTACTAGGTGAGTAAACTACTTGTTTTACTTTATAGTTTTTTTGGTAAAAAATTAAGTTAGTGAACCACCATATTAATATAGAAATTTTAAATCTACACTTATCAGCTGCTCTGACAAGCCCATATTAAGCTTAGTTGCGTAATTAATAATCAAAATTTCACATCATGGTTTCAATAAATATGTAACTTAGATAGAATCCCAGTAAACTATTTTCTCACTCTGTATCTGTAATTATGTTTTTGAGATTTTTTCATTTAATTCTTTCTTGAAGCTTCTTAATGAATTTTTGAAAGTGAAGAAATTTTTTTAAAATAACAATTAACATCTATTTTAGGGAGCCTATTCTCCATTTTATGGGAGTCCAAGAACACCCTATCGATTTAAGGTAATGTTATTTTTCTTACTTATACCTCCTAATTAATGTGATTGTATCTATCAAAACCATGTCTTATCCTTTACACTTCAGCAAAGGTGCTTATGTTATTATCTGTGCATACTTTGTGCTGTGATATTTTTTAACCACTAGTTCATTCAAAACACAATAATAGCAACTTTTATAATAGGTAAGTTCTTATTCTAATGGACCTTGCATGGCCAGGTGGTTAGGGTGCGCGACTCACAATCTGAGGGTTATGGGTTCAAATCCTTGTCCTACCAAACATGCTCGCCTTTTCAGCCGTGGGGTCATTATAATGTGATGGTCAATCCTACTATTTGCTGGTGAAAGAGTAACTCAAGAGTTGGTGATTATAACTAGCTGCCTTCGTGTAGCTTTGTGCGAAATTCCAAAACAAACAAACTTATTTTAATAATTACGTTTTTTTTAATGTAAATCTTACCTGATGATGACTTGATATTATGGGTTGAAATATTGTAATTATTAAAATGATAAAATTAAAAGTTGCTTTTATTGTATTTTGAACTAATTACTCAGTTCAGTAGGCTCCTCACTAAACAGTAACCTACATTAGGATTCCTTTTAACATTTTCTGATTTAAATTAAAAGAAGAACTTTTGGGTATTAAAATTTTTTTTATGGATAAAAATAAGTAATTATGGTTTTAAAAAGCTATTTTTTTATTTTATTTGAAAAATGTTTTCATCAGGTGGATATATTTGAATAATGGATTAAAACCATTTTGTTGCAGTATCAACAGTGATAGTATATTGCTAAGCAACAAAAGAAAGTCAGACACAATTGTTGAATATGGAAAAATTTAAATAAGTATAATTTTACACCAGAATACTCATTAATCTAGTTTTTTAATATAGTGCTTCTTAATTCTTTTTTCCGTTTATATTATTAAGAATTACCATAGCCTTTACATGCAATTGGATACAAGGATCCTGAAGTGCCCTTGTCAACAGATTTGTGCAATAAAATTTTATCTACTTTTCTTGCTGTTACAAAGTAAAAATTCACAGCTAAATCCATTGTACTTTTTAATTGTTTCTAATGAAGTTTTATAGATAGCATTTGAAGCCCAAGTGATATTTGGTAAAACACAATAAAAAGATGGTTTTTCTAAATTTGTGATTATATCTTCAGGATTTATTTTATAGGGATGGTGAAGTTTTGTTTATATCTTCAGATTTAATTTCTCAAATTCTCCATTCATGTTTGTATTTTAACTAAACATAATATATATAATTTCTTAAAAATGATTGTGGATTTTTGTCCAGTGGTACTTATGCTTTGGTATTTTTGAGTCTTGGATTATTATTATTTTTTTTGTTGAATAATCAAGTATCAATTTTTTCTTAATAAAAAATGTAACTGTTGTACCGGTACATTACATCTTTCAGTGTTTGTTCAGAAGACTAATTTAATGTAGTTCAGTGTCTCGAATTATATATTTTGAATATTGTTTTATTTTATTTAAAACAGATTGTTTTGGTATCATATACATTTTATGTCCATGTTAATTTTATAATGTTGACTGTTTTTAGTCTTCATATGTGATGTCTCTTACATTCTTTATTGATTTAATTACCTCAATTCTATGGTATATGAATACTTCTGTGATTGGCATGGACTGTATTGCTCTATCCTGAAAGACATACCATTTTATTTCAGAGACTTAAGACCTGCTACCATATGTTTTTTCCATGCTTCTATGGTATTACAGTGTACCTTAAACTAACTTTACAAAACCTAATGAAACAACTAATTTGTTGACAGTACATTGTTTATATAAAACATTTCATTGTAGTCTTTATATAGTAACTTAAGTACAATGTTAGTTAATATTACTAATGACTAAAACTTCAGTTACAAACATAGTGTTTATATTATACATAAGTCTTCTTTTGACAGCTTAAATAATGGATATGTACAGTAATTTTGTCAAATGTACAAATCTCAGTTGTTGTTTTTTTGTCAAGCAGTTGAGCTTGTCACTGCTTCATTTGAAGATGTATTTATCACAGAAACTGCTTTACTGTTACTGAGGGTATAATGTTTGCTTTCGGAGTAATTTAGGTTCATCTTACATGATTTTTTTTCATCAAGAAAATTATATGACTTGACCATTGCAATAGTTATACGTAGTTCTGGTACTGAAGTTATGATTTCAAAACATGCTTTATTTAGTTTTAGTATTACCATCATGTTGTAGAGTTTTTAAGGATTGGATTTGTTTGTATGTTTGCATCAAGTAGATAATATTGAGAATGTTCTTAGCTGTGGTGTATTTGACACTGGTTAGAACACTTATTGTTAGTGGCAGTTGAAATAACAGCTTACCCTGTGGTTTTATAAGGCCCTTTTTTGTTCTGCATGAGTTCAACTTTTGTTTTGTTTATTGTAAATTTAAATTTAACAGATTTATGTTTGAAAGACTTGCTTCACTTCTGATAATTTTTCCATTTGATAAAAGGTGTTTATGTGCTGTGTTGCAACCATAGTTTTCAATTTTTTGACTGGGTTTTCTAAACCTGGGAAAACCAGCCAGTTGTTGATCCATAACTTATTTGTATACATTCATCCAACACAGTTAGAGTCTGCATTAAGGTTTTGATATTGATGAAAGTTTTTTCTGTTTACTTGAATATTCCTTCAGTTATTTTATGAACAATAAGATAGTGCCTTCCACACAGCATTCAGAATTAGGCTTATTTTCACAAGTCTTCATGACTGCTTTGGGTTAGTTTCAAATAGGTCACCACCATATATCTGTGTTTGTTTAATCTTGATTTGACTCAATTTTGCATACATAATGGTCTCCCATATTTATCCATATAGACTTTTGTGCAGTATCTTGATACCCAAGTTTTAATTTGTTTGACCTCTTGACCTTACTTCAAGGTCACTTAGGAGAAGCAAAGTTTTCTAAAACATGACTGTATTGGTGATTAGTAGGATTATAGGTTATGTCTAAGTTGGGACTTGCAAGTTTCTTCCTCTGATGTACAAAATTGAATGTTGATGCTTCTCTAAGTTTGGCAGACATCTTCTGAATAGTTATAAGCTACTGTTAGAAAAACATCAGAAATTTTGGTCTAATATTTATTACTTTTATTTTTGAAATTTGTTGTTATTTGTTTGAAACAGTGTTTTTGTATTGACAAACAACTACTTTTTTTATTACTTTGCAAGTTTTATACAGCTAAGTTTTGCTGTGATAAATCAACTTTTGTTTATTTTTGTTAAAATAGCATCATACATAATTCTTGAGTATATATATATACATATATATCACTGACATATTGTGATAAAAACTATTGAAATTTAAGAAGTAATTCAGTAAAAACCTATTTTTTTTTTTATTATTCAAAATGTTCCATCGTGCACATCAAACAATATGAACGTATATTGTTAAAATTATATATTTTTTTCTAATTTACTGTACCCTTCTGCAAATTAAATTAGCCACAAATATAACCAAAATTGCTACACAGTTGACATACATAATTTGACAAACTCAAAGACCAAATATTTTTAATTGTTCTAGCGTACCTTACTCAGGAGCCGTACTGTCGCTGTGCCTAATCTTTTGTTAGAAGTCAGGTCTGAGTACCTAATCATTTATGGAAATAAATACAACATTTAGTTATACATATTATAATACTAATAAAGAATCAGCCAATATTGAGAGACTAGCATACTCTGAAAAAAAAAATCTAATTTGGTCTGGAAAATGTTTTAAGGTCAGTTCTTGTGATGTGATTGGTTAATTGCATCTAAACTCTAATGTATTCCATGTGTTTTTTAATGCCAAAAGTTTTTACACTGTCTCAGCATAATAATTATTACATTCCTTGTAAAGAGAGCTTCAAACATTTGTTTGATTTGTGTGGTTACCACATTCAGATCACATGTATGACCCTTATCGTGAAGATTGAAGCATACTTAAAGCATGGGGTTGAAACTAAAATCATACCTGAGTCTCTACAGAGGTTAAAAGTCCAAAAACATGTTGTCTTTGGAATGCAACATTATCTTCTAGTACTGTAGATTCTAAAGCCATTGGACAAGCAAATCTACAAAATATCATATCATAAATATCCATTATACAGTTGATATATAAAAAGTTGCAAAAACCAAAATGGTTGATAGGTTTTCAGAATTTGTTGATTAACTTAACTCCAAATACATTGTATCGTGTATGAAATACCTTATTTTAGTGCAAGTAAAGCTGAATTGTGTGTACATATTTTTTTTCATAAATGTGTAATGTGGCACTGCAATGAAATATTTTAAATGTTTTGTACATATGTAGGCACCAGTGCTGATAGTGTTTAAGACATTCATTAAATTGTTTTCAAGTCTCAAGTTTCTTTACATGATGAGAATATGACTGTGATGTCACATTTATGCAAGGAATTTGGAAATCAGACATTAACAAGTTATCATAATGCTATTAACCTGATTATTAGTAGTAACACTGAAAAAAGAAAAAAAATCTTTCAGTAGACTCAAAAGCATTGAGTATACCTGGAGGTGAAGCATTAAATACATTAATTTAATATATAATGAATTAGGAGGTTTTATGTTTCTTTATTATTTTTATATAAAATAATTATTATAAATTAAAGAGGTTTTACCAAATGGCAACGCATTCATGTCTCCAAATTCTGAAGCTGTGGCTTGAAGATACAGAAAGTTGATGGATAGATGGCCCACTTGTATATCAGTGTTGTAGCACAACTGGGTTTCATGGGCACATCATAGGGTCCAGGACTTAAAAATAAAAATTGTTTATAATCACTGCATTATGGAGTGATCAAGTAAAACATTAAGAATTACTTGTAGTCCCTTTTTCTATATCACTGGAGTGTATAATGACAACCAAAATATGCCTAAACAAAAAAGAAGAGTAACATAAAATAAATACAGTAGCTACAATCTTTCTGTACTTATGTCTTGCAAAAACGACAAATTTTTATTAAGTTTCAATACAATGTGCTCAAAATGCAAAAGATCAGTAAAGCAAATACCAAATGTAAACCTGATCACTACTATTTTAAGTGTAAGTCAAACTGAAAGCCACAAAAATAACAAAATTAGCATGTCTCATATTGCATATCTAAAAATAATGAATAGAAAACATCTACCAAATACCAAGGGTTTTAAAAAAAGACTTAAACAGGTGTAACCTTGTGAAATAGATATCATATATGATAAAAAAAAAAGAATAGTTCATTTGAAATTAATAATGAAGTTAGATTAAATAGATTTTGTTCCTAATCACCCCATTTTTTATTTTTCCCATACAGGATGCAGGGGCTGTTCAAGTTGATGAACGCATTTTGAATAAATTGTGTTTACAATTTCTGACTGTTGATGAAGGTCATATCTGGCAGCTTCTGAAACAGTAGGTTAACTTTCAGGAGTCAAGAATAAAGAATAAAATACTCGAAATACAATAAATGTTTTTATGTTTCTTCTCACTAACCAGTAAATCTAAATCTTTCATTTTAATATCAGACATAATATTCACCTTAACAGTATACAAATATGGATACATCTCTAAAAATAGATAGAGTATGGTTAAAGATTTTAATTAGTTTTGGTAATGTAATACACAAGTAGATTTTTATGAACAAAAAATCTAAGCTTGAATAAAAGTTTTACTTCTCTATGGCTGTAAAAGATCTCATATATCATGATTGATATACAAACATTTTCTCTTCTCATTTTCTGTTTGTGAGTTACTTTTTGAAGATTTCATTTTTTTTTCTTGAACTTGTGCTGCTACTGTACATTATTTTTTCTTTCAGTTTTGCATTGATGCTTTGATAGGATTTTTTTGTTCACAATACAAGATTTTATTAAAGTTTGTGAAAGCTCTTATATTTTGAAGGATTACCGTCAATATACAGTAGAGTTAATTCTCACAATGGAAAAATTATAATAATTAGTGTCAGTTGTAGGAGTTCTAACATACTGTGTACCTAAAGCTTACCTACCCATAAACATGTTAATTTAGCATTAAGATAATTTGATGTAATGCCTGACTGGTATACTACATAATCATTAGTGTACCTAAAGTTTACTTACCCATAAACCTGTTAATGTAGCATTAAGATAATTTGGTGTAATGCCTGACTGAGATGCTACATAATTATTAGTGTACCTAAAGTTTACTTACCCATAAACATGTTAATTTAGCATTAAGATAATTTGATGTAATACCTGACTAGGATACTACATAATCATTAGTGTACCTAAAGTTTACTTACCCATAAACCTATTAATGTAGCATTAAGATAATTTGATGTAATGCCTGACTGAGATGCTACATAGTCATCAGCTGTGTAAACACACATAACTGTTAAGCCTAATGAACTTGATTTTCCTGTTACAGATCTGTCAGATGTAAATATGAACACACACGTGTTAAATCATGAACTTCCTTGATTTGTCTGTTACATATCTGTCAAGTGTGACTAAACGCATAACTGTTAAGTGTAATGAACTTTCTGATTTTTCAACCCACTTATTTTACACCATAACATCGAATTTCTTGTGTTGGATATAAAATATAAATATAATTTCGTACGGACTTTTTGCTGTGATACATCTAGCCTAGTTGATGAGATATAGCAAAGATACATTCTACATAGTTAGAACTTAAATGCTCATAAAGCATTTCTCTTATTTAAAATCGATAATAGACAGATCAAGAGAAACAGAATAAAAAAATCAATTGTGATTTTAATCTATTTTTAACTCTAAATAGATTATGCAGATCGATTAGTAAAATACATGCATAATAAAAATATTATCTTAAAAGACAAACATTTTCCAGAAAATAAAATACTTATTTTCTACTAATTTATGCAATATTTAGATTAGTTGAAAAAATAAAAACAAATAATTATCTTCTAATGTCTGATTTAAGTTTATAACCTTTTCATGTAGATATCACAACAGAGAAAATGTTGTACTTAGTGCTTTGCTGGCTGAGGGCCACCCTCGTGCTCAAACTCATCCTATGGCTTATGAACATTTAACCCCAAAGCTACAGAAAGTAAGTACTACTAATTATTTTTGGATTTATCTCTTTTACAAAATATTTGTAGAAAAGTGTAAATTTAGCTATTGTAAAACATGTAATTTTGACAGTTGGAATAATTTAATAAATCTTTGTTTTCAATCATAGCTTTAGTACTCATATATCATATTTAGTCTCTAACCCTATCTTGACCAGCAAGTATATTTTAGGGGGCCAAATGCATACTTCCATATGAAATTTAAAAACTTATGGAAAAATAATAATAAGAACTATTTTAACAATTTTTAACTAAAAATATTTTAGAAGTTTTGTCTTTATGTAACATTTATTTAGTGTAATTTGGAAAGAAAAATGGAAACTGCTCTAAACTGCTATAAATAATGCATTTATGAATTTTTTTAGAATTGCTCTTCCCATCACAAGATATAGGTTTATGTTTGTTAAAAAAACTATTTTACCCTGAAAATATAATGATTGATGTTCTGTCTTTTACCTGATTTTCTTTCTCTTTTAATGATTTTATTACTACAATTCTTCATTGCCACCCATTTATGATATCACAGCACGTGGTCTAAAGAAAATTAGCTATGAAAATAACTAAAGTCAAAGGCTAAAAATGATTGATTAGAATAGATTATAATCTGTTTATGATAATGTGGAGTAAATAAAGAAGTTTCAGCAGTAACTTGTAGTTTTTTCTGTAGAGGTGAACAAAGGAATATAATGGGAAGTTTAGAACAAACCACAGATATGGGAATCTTTTAAAATTTATTTAGCTGTTCTTTATGGAAAATATTTTCATGCTAAATTATATCCGTTTAAAGCTGCAGAAACTTTGCTTTCTATGTCTAGACATCAGATAAGCTTAATTAGGCTTAATGTGTACAGTAGGTGATGGAGAATAGTATGATAATGCAAATCATCCTTCATAGAATATTACGTTCAGCTTATTGTATTGAAAAGTTGCACACAAATGACAAAATATATAATTTATTGAAAATGAACTGTATTTGTCAGATATAAATTGATCTTGTAAGAATACTGTTAGCAAAAGTTAATGGTGATGTCATTTGAAAGGTGAAGTCTTAGGTCACAGGTAAATATTTGTTAGTTTTTTTTATGACTAGCTGGAAGTGATGATTAATACAATCAGCAAGAAACATTGATGAATATAAGGCAGGTTGAAACTGACTAGATATATAAAATTAAATGTTCTGAAAAAAAATTCATTAGTTATTTCCTTTGTGAAAAAGAAAAATCAGGAGATATCAGTGACACATGACAGGTTTTTCAATCTTTCTATACTGTTGAATTTATGATATCTTAGAGCCTTAAAACTAAGGACAATATAATTTTTTTATAAAAGAAATTGAATTATCTTTCTTATAGTTGCTTTCTTAATACTTAAAACATTATTACACTTAAATTTCATTATTGAAGTCTGGCTGTTTACCAAACAATGGATGGAGGGCAACGAAATCATACAGCCCCCTATTCTTCATAAATTATTTTAAAAATATTTATGGAAAGGCTTCAAAGTAATCTAAACCTAAAGTATTACAAATAAATGTTTAAAATAAATATTATAAAATGTATGATATGGTTAAAATTAAGATATTTTAAAATCAAATACACAATAATAAACAGAGTTGGATAATATTAATTAAACAGCTATGTCAGATTTAATATAAAGTGCAAACTACTGAAAATGTTGAAAGACCTATCAGTAGAGTGCAAGATAACACAGTGATCATAACATTATATATACATATATAATTCAGTTTACTCAGAATACTTGAACTTTGTAATGTTAGATTGTATTCACTCATCAGTTGGGTATTGTTACTAGTAGTAGTGTTTTATTGTAATTTTAATAGCTGGGGGGTAATAAAAGCAAAGCAACTTAACACGAAAATCACCTTGCTCTTGGACTAATCAACACTCTGGCTCCATACTTTCAAAGACAAATTTTTAGTAAAACTAATTAATTAAACAATCTGATTTATTTGTGTACAAAAGATTTATAATGTATATTAAAAGCTTGCCAAATTTTGTAATATACTTGAAGTAAGTTGGGTCCAATGGACTAAGCATGTGTGTGTGTAGGGTTAAACAAGCCTTGCTTACTCAGGAAATATAGGGTTAAGTTTGGATTCAGGTATGTAATAGACTAAAGTGACACATAAGTGCCTAAAGATTTATTAACATGATTAAGAATATGATCTATACTCTTGGTTTTAAATCATTACAGTGCTATTGTCCTAATCTTATGAAAAATTATATTCAGTTATTTAAAAAACAATAAAACATATTTCATTTTTAAAGGATTGTGAGATGATGTTGAAAATAAGTAGGCTTTAACCTAAACAGCTGTATTAAGTAACTAACTAATTTAGTAATTATAAAATACAAACCTGATCACCAAGATCATGTTAGTACTTTATAATTACTAACCTATGAAAAATTTGTTGTTGATATGGAAGTTTGAGATGTAGATTTTCTAAATGGTTTCATGTTTGGAATATTTAAGTTTATACCTGAAATTAAGAAGTAAAAATCATACACTTTTATCATAAGGAGAAAAGTTTTTTATTTATATACCTAGCTAACCATTCGTTATAATAAACTAGGCAAATTACACTATTTACACCATTATTGAACTTTATAATTAATTTTTTTCTTTGAAATATAGAGCAGTTTCAGCATATAAACCAAGTCTTAAAAATAATATATATCCTTTTTTAAAATTATTGTTAATATTATATTTGTAAAATCAATATGCATACAGTTTAATAATTTAAGTACATCGGATCATAAAGTATTCTATAAAATACTAATACATGTTCAGATTTTTTATAAAATAGTATTCAAGCATTCCTTTTAACCCCTTACATACAGAGGCCATTTTGTCTTATCATGAGGGCAAAATCACATTTGTGAATTGAAAAAATTGTAGAGAACTTATCATTTATTATATTTCAGATTTT